TTTCATTTCCTAAATTTATTAATGTCAAAAAATAAAATTGCGTCATTATGTCGACATATCCAGTTATACAAATACATAATTAAGTCTCCGATCCGCTTATTTTATTTCCAGGTTAAATTCAGCATAGGGAAAAGCGCTAACAATAAGTTAAAAATGATTGTCAATAACTATTTCTAATAATAGGTCCAAGACCCTGTCCTAGCTTATCTGAAAACATTATTGTCTTACACTGTGGTTTAAAATGTTGTTTGCTGTAACAGCTTTGTAACGAATCAATATAGTCCGATGAATGACTAGAACTCTGGACTATTAATTTGTCCATCTATAGTACAACGATAAGATGATTTATCATTCGCACTAATTAATTGCTTATTAAATAATGACTCGTATCGATCTGCATTGTAATTGGAGAGTTCAACCAATTCCGTGGCAGACTTTATGTGTTCTTTAATTTGTTTTTGAGCAATTAAATATTTATTTCTATGTCTGCGAGTGATTCTTGTAATCTCATAATGTCAGACAGTAATTGCTTTGTGTTCCTGTCATACATCTGCGTACATTCTTTTAATTTACTATCATAAATTTCTAATGACAAATACGTTCCTTTCTTAACGCAATATTTTTGTGGAAACATTTATTTTTCTTAATTAGTTTTTCCGTTTTCCTTATAATCCTATTTAATTTGACATATTTCTTTAATTTATTAGCACCCAAGTTAAAGGGTCTAGATGTATTACAATTGGTGGTTTGTATTTTTTTCTGATTGAACTCCAAAAAGACTTTGGGCATGCTCCGTTTCCTGCAATAGTTGCTGCTCAACGAGCTAAGATATCCTCTTGTTGGCATCAATCAGTTCACATTCCAAATCTGAGATGCGGTCAAGGGCCCTCAAATGTGTGCTCACCAATGCTGCTCACGGTATTCTGAAGCAGCTCTTTCTCATGTAGCACCTCTAAGTGTTGGGCGTGTAGTTGGGTAAGCTCGGTCTTCAGACGGGTGTTACGATCTAATATGTTTTTAGTTTCCTCTTCGTTCTCATCTCGTTCACGTAAGAGTTGATTATATGTCTCCTTGGTTTGTTTTAGCTCTTTCAATGCCAGACAAGTTTCAATTCAGTACTTTGTACAAACGCTCTGCGTCAGCACGTTCGTAGTAGACGATAAGTGATCCTTTTCTTATACATAAATTGATAAAAAATATAATATTAATTATAAAATAAAAATAATAAAATAAAAGTAATAGTAATGAAAAATCTCTCGTAGTGGCAAGATTTGAACCCAGGGCTCTTAAATTAAACCGCTTGGCCATGGTACTGATGACGTAAGATAGCTAAATAGTCGCACACTTCACTCAATACTGGCTCGTCATGGTCGATTTCAACTAAGTATCTGTGGGTATATCCAAATACGATACTACTAGATCGAATAACGATTATTGGCGAAGATTTCTATATAAAACGACACTATTTAGGACTGATATAAATTAATACATTTGGTAGTTATGTATTATTTCGACACTTTCACACTGATATAAATGATTATTTCCGTACAGTATAATACTTCTCAGGTACGGATTTTATAAGAATGTTTATTTTATAAGAATGTTTATATTCACGTCACTTTCTGTTGAACACTTTCACTTCTATTTATTTTAATTAATATTACATATACATTGTCACAAACGCTTGTGTATGATAATTACGCTATTAGACTCGATATTTTAACTAATAAATATATCGTATCATAAAAAATATCATATGTAGAAGCGTAATGTTTACTTTACATATAGAGTTCGAATATTATCTAGCTTTCCAGCCCATTAGCTATTAGTACAAACCTTAACCAGATGAATGAAACAAATGTTGCAGTATTCGAAAGAGCAGAGTGAACTGTACCGGAAAATGTACGAGGAAATGAGCAAGCAGAAGATGCCCGAATCCAACGAGGAAGGAATTAAGAGGTACTTGCCCTTTTGTCCCCCTCATGTGTGCTCATCGTCTCTTGAGTTTTGACCGGCCGTCTCTTTGCAGAGTGGTGGAGGATGACGAGAAGTACGCCTTCCTGATGGAGTCAACCACCATCGAGTACACCACTGAGCGCAACTGCCTCGTCACTAAGGTACTGTCTCAGCGATGATAATATTAAATCTTCGAATTGGGCACTGAAAATACTTTTTTCTACTCCTGTACTTTAATCTGTCAATTATAATTTCATAAACCATATCAAAAAGGCGCTCTTTTTAGTTCTAAATCAAAATTCGATTGATGGTACTCGCCACTGAGCTGAAAATTTTCACTAAAGTCCTGTACGCTGAACTATAATGAGTTTAAAAAAAGAACGTCATATTTTTGCTAATTACAATATCAATTAGGTTAAAATTTATTTAAAATTTATGGAAAAAAATAAAAGAAAGGAGCTGCCTTAACTACAGAATCAACGTGCATATAACCAAAATTTGAAAGTTACAAATGGCGGATTTCTTTATCTATCGATAATCTATCGATAAGTCATTATCGACATGCAAATGTATGGCTTGAATGTTGAAACTGTTTTTTTTTTTGTTTCTTTAGTTTACTGTAACCAAAGTATGCCTAAACAAACACAAGTCTAATAATTTAATCTCGAGTGGTATATTATTATAAATGTCAACACACATTTTTAAACTTTTTTAAAATTTATTTTCAAGATTACAACTGGTAACTTATTTAGTAAAAGTCACCAAACTGCTGTGCAGTTTCTTGGCGACACACATGCGCACATGCGCATTCTTACTTATACCTACTTTACTGGTATATAACATTACACAGTATTAATTGTACTTGCTAATTAAAATATAAAAATTAATTTAAGAGGTACGCCTTTAACCTACATTTTACATATTTACATAACGTCTTTTAACTAAGTGTCAAGTACAAGTCTATTCAGGTTTCTGCGGATTCTAGTATTCACGTTAATTATATATATAAGGCTTTCTTAAGCAAATGAATCTATCAATCAATTTTAACACAGAAATAATGGAAGTAGTTGTAAAAATCAATTAAAACAATAAAAACCTCGTAGTGGATTGTTTTAATAACAGAATATCGATAATATGTATGCTTACAAGATCAACACTATCTCAAAATAATAGTTAACAATAATCATCAAAATATACAAACAAACAGGCAATCTAAAGTAACAAAAGCAAAATTTGGCAAAATTTATAAATAAACTACTTAAATAAGTCTAATTACAAGAAATAACACATACCTGTGCAATGTAACATTCGATTGATTCGCACTTTTTCTAAAGCCGCATCCCTTAATGCTGCAGCGTCGCATTTTTATTAATACCTAATTATACTCACTGTCAATATTTTTGTCCAATTTAATTATAATACATGCGGATAATTCAATAATACATTTGGAAAAACATTTGTTTTGACATTTGATGTACTTCCCTTTGACAACGGTATCATGTACCTCATGTATTGCGAAATGGACACGGTTGGGATTTGAGATGACGTTACGTATTTTCGATTCCCGTGTTTGACACAGACCAATGTAGTGCTATCTCTTTTGGCTTAAGAGGGCACGTAATAGTTAAACAAAGACAATAACACGTTTATATTTTCGACGTCGAAATGCATCATATACATATAACGTCTGATTTAATATGTCAACGTAACGTGTGCTTTAGTTTCCATAGTCTAAGATATAACCAGATATAGAGACGAAATGTCATTTATTTTGTTTGAAACTATTCTGCTATATCATTACCGTGACAACTGCGCTCCGATTGGCTAGCCTGAGTTCGAAACAATTCAACTGTTTCACTTCAAATCGACCAGTTAACTTGAGCTTTGCTATAATGGACGATAATTGCAAAATTACATATTTAATATTTAATTGCCGATGAAATGTGATTCCGTTTGTTTTGTAATTAGATGTTTTGCTGTTTTTCTCACGCCACCGAATGGAACAGCACGGCATTGCTAGAGATATTATCTTTATTACAATAAATACACAATATTTTTTTGGAATATACGGAGACGTACACACATATCAGTAGTTGGCCTGTCTATATTTCAGTGCAAACTAGAGTTGATATTTATAAGAGCTGTATCGCTAATGTGTTACCAAGAATAAATGGCCCTTATTTCGTCTCTATTTCTGGTTATATACTCGATGGTTGTCATGGAACAAAACAAACATTAATTGAATAGTTCTCTTAGTAAACTGCGTTATGCGCGTGGATAAGAAAAAGCTATAATCTGAAAAAAAAACAATGATTGTTAATTATTCCGAAAACGGATGTCTAATGGTACTTTTTTAATTGTCTGAAAATTGTGTTAAAAAAGACATATACAATATGAAGAAAAAATCATAGTATTAAACTTTTTACCTTATTTCCATTTAAAAATTGAACATAGAGAGTTTTGCAACAGTAATCTTATAATAACTAGTTTGTAATTGTTCAGATAATATGAGTATACAATTCAAGAATTTCCACGAAGAAACCAATCTTCTCCGAAATGTTTGACGATCAAGTTTTTAATAAATGAACACGAGGGACCTTTCGGATGACAAAATAATAAATACCAAACAAAATAACGGATTTTAAAGTAGTTTATACTCAATAGAGCAGCATTTGCAGGTTGACGACAAAATGGTAACCTTTGAAAGTAAGAAAGATAGCGACTTTGCAGAAGTAGCCAACATTTGACACTGATTTGTTCTGAATATAACAAATTTTGGCACTGAATTGTTGAAGTTTTGAAATTATTTAAAATACTTGTCCATTTCACGCCATTAACTAAAAATCATTAAAAATGTCACATAGCGCTGTTCGCAAGTGGACTACTCAATTATTAGTTACATATTTTATTTATTCGTACAAAAAGTATTGTAAGCATTAATTACATAACTAGGTCTTCAAATCTTAAAAAAAAAAAAAAAAAGGTCTTAAAATCTTGTACTTATTACTTAGGCCACCCGACACATGTCATCCAAAGATACTGAGTGTTTTAGCAT